TTTAAACCTTATAAGATATAAAACATTATTTTAAGTGCCCTTCAACAACATTCTCTTGAACACCCGTTTGACTTTGAAATTGTAAAGCAGTCAGCTTCCCTTAATTCCGTTATAAGTTGGAAGTGTATAAAGAACAAAAAATAAGTGGAAAGTGTAAAAGGAAATCGATTATATAACCCTAAGTGCATTTTAGATGTCCACTGAAATAAGTTATTTTAAAGGTGAAAAATCCTATAATTAATCATCTCAACTTCAACCTCGAGATGTATGTAACAAATAAGGAATTTAGAGCCTTACAAGTATTATGTTTTGTAACTCATTATGTGGACCGTCTATTTCGAGTTTTTTAAAGTATTTATAGATGGAAAAGTTCACATAGAGCCGAGGCTCTAAACAATCAAACTGGACCCTACCACAAAAATTTCATTAAAAGACATCTTGACATCAAAGATGGATGAATACGAGAAAAAAATTTATATTTCAAGTTTTGAAAATAGTGTATTTTGTAATATATTTGTGGACTGTTAATTTTCAAGATTTCCAAATTTTTATAGATCTGTCGATATACAATAGTTTTGAAGCTTTAAACTTTATAAATAAAGATGAAAATACATTTTAAGGCTGTCACAAAGATTTTTAGCATTGAAAGTTGAAACCACATTTCTCGATACGATTTGAAGGTAGGCTCTAATTTGATTGTACAAAACCTAGGCTCTAAACAATCAAATTTGAGCCCACCTTCAAATAGCATCAAGAAATATGGTTTTAATATTGAAAATTTTTGTAATAGCTGTAAAATATATTTTCATATTTAATTAATAGTGTAGATCGAATAGATCCATGAAAATTAAAAAAATTTGAAAATTGACGATCAAACAATGCGTTACAAGATGCACTATTTCCAAAACTTGACATCCATTTGTTTCTCATGTCTATGCATCTTGATGTCCAGATGATCAATTTGATGATATTTGGATATCAAAACAACTTTTAGTGAAATTTTTGAGGTAGACTCTATTTTTATTGTTTAGAGCCTAGGCTCTATATAAACTTTTCCCAGTAAAAAAATAACTAAAGCATCTCCAAGGCGCTATAGAACAACCCAAAGAGAGAACAAGAGAGACAAGAACATTTCTAAGATGCTCTACGATACGAGAGAGAACAAGAGAGAAAGAGAGCATAATTAAAAAGGAAAATTGTTTCTTGCGGGCTGGACCGTATGACTATATATCCCGTCTAAAAAGTGTAAAGCATCAATTTTAAAGATGTATCCAAGTAGGTGTTTCATCTAAAAACAATAGAAACTAACCGTCCAAATGTTTTCTTACTAGAATTATCATTTCTAGTTTTTAAAAATTACTTATTTTTTCATATGCACGATCTCCATGTTAGAGATTACAAGTTCTTAAAAATTAGGTAAAAAAAATCCTTCTGAAAGGTAGATATATTAATAGGCCAGCTTTTCTACATATGCGGCCTTGATCGCATACCTAATTAAAACAAGAACAATTGTTTCATACGGTCTAGAGGTATTGGTTCATCTAAAAACAATTCTAACTAACAGTCTAAATGTTTTTAAATATAATTATTACTTTTAGTTTTTAAATTTTATTTTTATTTTTTATTGATGATCTCCACGTTGAAGATTATGTATTCCCTAAAAATTAAGATCAAATTATATTTAAAATATATATTTATTGCGAAGCCTGTATTTCTACATGTGCGGGTTGGCCGCAAGCTAACTGTGTCCTTAAATGTCTAGCTTTGGTATTTAAGAAGTTATTGGTTGGCAACGCACAGGCCTGCCTTGGCCAAGCCCGATGCAGCCCAGATCGAGCCTGCCCCTGGGCCGAGCTGCGCTTACCAAACTTAAATATAAAAATGAAAAATGTAAAGAAGAAAATTGGGCTTAGCTGTGACAGGACGGGCAATCCTGGTCCCGCTCAAGCCCGGCCCTCCCTTCATTGGGTGCAATCATGTCATTTGTACTAAAGCTTAGTTTGGTAATTTTCTCAAGCTAGAAAGCGATGGATCAACACCATTATTCAACATATGCTAAATCAATGTACATGATTCAGCGTTATCCCAAGTAAAATCATACAAATGTTTGCGACTTTTAGCTGCACCAAATGCCCTTTTAACAGAGAAATAGCCATCAAAGCAGTTGGTTAGGATATTGATTTAGTATACAATGTATGATAATGATTTTAATAAAATAAATATATTTTATTAACTATTTGATACATATTTTGTATTATGTATATTTTTATTTAATTATTTAAGTTTTTCGGTGATTTCAACTATTTTTAGCTAAAAGATATAATTTTTAGTACATTAATTTAGATAAAATAAAAAATAACTTTTAAAAATAATAAATTTATATAAAAAAACCGCATAAATTTAATTTCAAATAATTTTATGATAGACACTAACGAATAGCAAATAATTTACTATCAAAACTAAGTTTTTGAAACAATAAATTATCAATAATAACAAATATGTCCAATGATGCCATTAGGGTGTTAGAAAACATAAATGTATATTGTGTAGCACATAAACTTATTCACCATTCTTACTCGCTTGGTTCCAACCATTGTTCCCGAAATCCCCTGATCTAACTTCTAACCGCTCAGTTAGATCGGAACCAACTAGTGGCCAGTTCCGATTTTGGGCAGTTAGGGTGATCAGGTATTTTATATAAAAGAAAAAGTAAATATATAT